TCCAGTTTTCACAAAGCCTTCAAGTTTCTTTAATGCAACATGTGTTGAAATGTCTTCAGTGGATGTCGACCTGTCTTGAGAATCTTGAACATGACCAAATTAAAAAGATGGAAGCCAAACAGATGTTATCCACTATCACAAAAAGAGCAGCCAACACAGCAACATGACCCACTGCAGAGTAGTGGTCTTACTGGTTTTTTATATGTGCAAGCTGCCACCTGATTGGACCTGATGTGCGAAAGGTCAGAGCCTCAGGTTAGCTGACATATACTGTTAGAGGTCATGGCACGTACGCAGTTAAATACAGCATCTTATTGCTTGTTCATTCCTATGGAGCTTCTACTTACACAGATTTATTAAATGATCTGATTTTAAATCAAGTGCCAAGCCTCCTAATCTTTCCCTCCATCAAATATAGTACCTAACCTCTCTGCTCCCCCTCTACTTTTTCATTTCTACTCTCGTATTCTCTCTTCCCATCAATAAGGAAAGCGTGTGCCGAAATCTAAATTCAACAAGGAGACAACATACACACGCACAAAACTGCTTCTCTAGCTCAAATACTGCCAAGCTAGAAACTCTGACTGATTCATAGCTCGTTATTGCAACACTCAGCGATGTGGGGAAAGGAAGTCACAGAGCAAGTTGTGCTCTAGTAGCTCAAGTTTTACAAGTGCATACTGCATAGGATATAGTCGTGCCACAGTGTGGGGTTTGAATCCTTTCATGAAAGTGAACCTTGCCTGCTCCCTCTCTCTCCTCTGTATTTGCTTCACTGATTGACTCATGCAAATGTTGTTTACTGGTTCTGAAAATAAATAAAGAAACTGAATGATCTGTCACCACAATGCATCAGCGTGACTGTGCACGTTTTTGTAACGGCCTCAAACAACAGACCAGTGAACATTTTGTTTCCACTGCGCTGTCAAACTGAAATGCCAAGGAGATATCTGTAAACACACCGCAACCCAGCATTACCTATTCAGATGTAGTGATGTACTTGACACCCTCACTCCTCCACACACGCACCAACCAAGTCTGCTTTACCATTTCACTGATTTCTACTGAGTCAGGCTTGCAGGGGGGCACCAGTAAGCAACATATTATATAATAAGCCAAGTATTATAAAGCTGTTAATGCTAATGCAATTATAATACAGGCCTCAACACAACAGGACATCAAAATTAGAGACAAAAGACCATATAAGCACAGATTTTCACCCATTATTCACCAGCCTGATAATTGTTCCTGTTAATAAAGACAAATACAGGCTCTGTAATGCTGGTGCAAAATTCCTTCTTAATCATTTTATCAGGTATAATATGTAATCTGCAAAGTCAGTCATCATCATTGACAGCATTCTTTAATGTGAGCAACACACGTCATGTAAACTGTGTGTGTGTGTGTGTGTGCGTGCATGCACACACATGAAATAAAACACACACAGATAGAGCTACTGAACACATCCTCTCTTGTCTCATCTACACTGTAGTACCAGAGCAGATGGTTTGTACAACCCTGGGTTCACTTCCTGAAATAAAGAGGGCAAGACGGTGCAGGGGGGATAGACACTGTCCATCTCGCCTCATTCTGTCTGTTCCAAAACATTATGGTAGCCAGAAAACAAACGCAACACTAAATTTTAGAGTTCCAAAATAAGATGTATTGCTGTGTGGAGTCTCTGGTCTGATGCAGTTCAGAGCTGTGAACTCTCCCACAGCAATGAAACATACTCAGCTGTGACATGCTGTGATCTCTTTCCAGGTTCCAGCATGTTACTTCTCGACCCAGCAGCTTCTTTAAATATGTAGTTTGTTACCATTAAAGTCAGGGGAGAAATGAGTAGCAAATATACATACAACAGTTTCAAACTGGTGCAGGGCCGGGATCACAGTAGTGTGTCAGTTTCAGTCTTCATCTTATTGACCACAGTGTTTGACACAAGAATTTGTGACTGACATGTGTTTGGAGTCATTGTGTTCACAAAGATTATCAAGGCACAGAGATGCAAAGCCAAGGATGTTCATTCACAGTTTCCTCAAAACTGTCAGACATGTTTTTGTGCTCCTTTATGAGACACAACACTGGAAAGTTTATACTGTAGATGGCTCTAGCTCAACACAACCAAATCTTTATGATGCTAGCAGGACAATTACCTTTTAACTCAGCACCACCCGCCAGCTGTAGCTCTCTAAATGTCACTTTTGGCCCCGGCATATGTACATGCTGCTCCCACAGGAGAGTGATGTGGCACCAAGTCAGTCAGTACGCTGCTCACCTGTCTCAAGCCACATCACAGCCCACTTACATTACACACTGTCTAGACAATATGAAATGTGAGGAGTCTACGACAACTTTTCAACTAGTCCTGAACAGTGTTATAAAGATCACCAGATTTAAAAGATCACTTACTCTTATACCACTCATGTTTGAATTATCAGAGGAAATGTTACACACTACATTCTGTTATTTAGTTTCTTTCTCTGTGTACCCTGCTGCCCTGTTCAACATTTAACTAGTCACAATTCACAAATCCAGTTTCCGAGATACAGTATTAACTGAAATCTACTATACGTGTTGTCACTCACACTAAGCATCTAGGCATCGTTTCAGGCTCAGGTCTTTAATCCAAGTTAAAAATCAAAAATAGGTAATAAACAAACAAACAAACAAACCCTTTTATGAATGGAAACTGTATTTGGATGTTCAGTGTTTTTGCCTGCAGATCTTGAAAAAACTATTTTGCATCATTAACCTATTTTACTATAGATAGAGCATGGCAAGCTTCCTCATTTCATCTGAGTGCTCTGCAGATCTTTCACTTGGCATCAGCTACTGTACTGCACATGGAGTCCAAAAGCAACCCTAACATTTGCCTACAGCAGCAAATCTGTTGCCAGATTGGGTTCTGTTAGTCGAATAGTGCCTGCTTTGATTAAAACGAGTTTAAAAGTGATTTGATTTAATATGTTAACACCATCATAAATGTTGAATAGTTCACTGTTGCTTCTCTATGCATGCATGAAACATGTTTCCATACACACTCTGACACACACACACACACACACACACACACACACTCCAGTCTGATTTCATAGTGATCTGCAGAGCTCGGAAAGAAACTAATGGCACCACATTTCATGTAAGATTCACAGCTTGAGGCTATGAGAGTTAAACACACAAGTCAGCTGAGCAGCAGCACTGCTGAGGTCAAATCCGATTCAGACACTCTGCCCACACTGCAGAGCAGTCTCACCAAACCGCGGCAGAGAGGCTGAGAGAAGTGAGAGCGGTAGCAAAAACTGTTTAGCTGTGTGGGAGAGAAGCAGAAGCAAAAGAGTCCTTTTCCATTCATGGCATTTAAAAGCATCAGAATATGAAAATAAGGGTTTTTGTGAGGCAGAGAGAAAAGCAGGGAGAGGGGTTTAAGACTTGTGCAAGACAGGCAATATGTGAGAAATATGTGTAAATTAACTGTTGGGAGGAAGAGAGGAAGCGCGAGGAGATATAGTGACAGACAGAACAGACAAAGAACCTGTAGGAACTGTCAGAACACTGTCACCAGGCAGCAGATGGCATTTATTCATAAATCCTGTCAGGTGTGCTTGTGACATCCCGTCTGAATGAACAACTCTGTATATGGCTAGAAACTGAGGATCAAATTGGAAATGTGTAGCACAAACTCACTGAAAACATACTGCGGGCTTAGCAGAAGGTGCTTCAGATGGTGCTGACAGGACTGGCTTTATGAAATTACACAATATGACAGCAACAAAAGGTATATGAGAGGGGATTTTAAGGCAGAAAAGGGGGATTTTGTGGCTTTTAATGAGGCAGCAGGTGATCAAAAAGACTCAAAGTTGTTTTCTTATGTACAAAAAATGACTGTATGAAGACCTACCCAAGCCATCAATCTAAGTGTCTTTTGAGATAAAGTGTGCTTTTTAGAAGCTTTTACTGTATTAAACTGCAGATACATAAAGTTGCATTCAAAATTGCAAATGTATGGTCAACTCAGTTCTAATGATAGACTGATCAAGCTGTAGCAGATGAGATGGGTGGGTCAGAAAAGAAATGGCCACAAACATACAACATGTGAAGGAAGCAAACTACGCCTAACAAACAAACCAAACTGACAGACCCTACAGTCACTAAACGCCAGAGGTGTGAGACTCGAGTCACATGACTTGACTCAAGTCAGACTTAAGTTGAAGACTTGAGACTTGCTTGACTAACACTGGTAACGGACTTGGACTCGACTTGACTTTGACTTGGTCTTCACAACTTGAGACAGATTCAAAATGACTTCACTTTTTTAAATTAAATATTATCAATTTTCTAGATATTGAGAGGTTATGTTTTGTTTTTGAAACACAGTTTCTAATGCAACGTGCACAAACCTGGCAACCCACCAGAGCGCAGCAGACCAGCAGAGGGCAATGCAGGTCGCAGGATGCAACGATTATGGAGGGCTCTAGTCCAAAAATTATACAATTTGGATTCAAGGATTATGTTGTCTATGATGGCACTAAGAAGAGGACAGTAGTGTGCAAAGTCTGCAGCACAAAAATCTGCAACATAATCATCACAACATCCAACTTCACCCATCACTACAAAACTCACGAAGAAAGGTAAGTACATGAATGTGTCCAGCTAATGTTAGCCAGCTTATTGCCTGGTCATATGTTAATTGGAACACTAATGTTAAATTGAAGCTGTTAGCCTTGGCTTCAAATCGATTGTGCTTTTCTTTCTGGAAGAATTTAAAAGTTAAGGGTTAGTTGCTAGCATACAAACACACAATTAATAATTAGAGGACATTTGTGAACATTTCACTTACATTACCAGATCATCGGAATTTTGTGATTGGGATTTACTTGACTTATAGTGGGGACTTGTTTGATTTTTACACTAATATGGGACTTGCATGTGTGATTTACTCCCATCTCTGCTAAACGCACCACAATACACACACACACTCCTAACTCTGACATACACACCTGTATTTCATGCCTGTGTATTTCCCCGTTGATTCTTTGAGTGAGATGTGGCGTGGAGTGAAGGAGCCAAAACTGCGAGCGATAATGGCCACAGTGCGGAACTTGGCTCTAGCTTGGTTCACCACGTTGGGGCTGGTGGTGGTCTGCTTGCTATGGTCCCCATTGCCCCTCTTCAGGTTGTGGTCTGTACAGGCAAAGGACACCTGCATGGCTGAGCTTCAGTCGAGGCAGCAGAGTCCGAGACACAGAGGAGAACTCCAGATGGGACAGGAGGAATGACAACAGAGAGCAGCACGGAAGCCTGAAGTCTCAAAGAGTTCGTTTTTCAAATCTCTTTCAGTGTCTTGTCCTCTTCTATTCAAACTTTGATCTGTGAAGCAAAATAAAGATGCTCTTTGCTCTTACATCGCCTTCCATTTAGCAGAACAGGTCAATCCTCCAAAAGCCTGGAAAGATCAAAGACTCCTCAGTTCTTTGAGGGATCCACAGTTTATTTCTCTACTGGTCTTTCCTTCTCCTTTGGCCCGCCTCTGATGCAGAGCTCGAGGAATTCTCTTAACAGAGTTTCGGCTGCATGATGACAATTGGGAGCTGGGGAGGGTGCAGAGGGATGAAAGAGAAAGAGACGAAGATGCGATCCAGGCTCTGCGCTCTCCCTGATCTGAATGTGGGAAGAGAAATTGAGCAATAGTGTGTGAGAGAGAGGGGAGAGGAGGGTGGAGGAGGAGGGGACAGGGTCAGAGGATAGATAAGGAGGCAGAGGAAGGTGGAAACAAGAGGGGGGAGACACTGTCAGGTCCTGGCAGTGTGCACCATCACACCTCTGCCATCAGCTCTCTTCCCCGTCTTGTCACTTCTTCCCCTCTCCTCGCTCTTCTCCTCCTCCTTCTTGCTCCCGCCTGCTGATGTTAATGCGTGTCACTAATGTTCTTGTGCCCCGGTTCCCCTTCTTTCTCCCTCTTCTCTTTCTGATGTATGTTTTTTATCTGATATTTAGACGTTTCTGCTCTTTTTTCGTTCTTGTTGTTGATGTAGTTTTTTCTCAGCGGAGCGGCTCCTTCGCCAACAGCGCACCTTCAGGGGACTGAGAGGCATGTGGTGCAACACACAGCTTCCTCCCTCTCTCTTTATCTCACTCCCACTCTCTGTCTGTCTCTTTCTCCTACTCTGTTTCACTCACCCTCTCACTCTGTTTTATCATGTCACCTATCTTTCAAGGTTCCTTCCTCTCTTGCTCCACCAGTTATAGCAACCAGAGGCTGAAGCAGGAGAAATCTTGTCGCTGTAGCTGAGGCTCCTGTTGGTAGTTTATGCTTTGCTTAAAAATTCATTGGTCATATTGGCAAACAGCATACAAGTATATACTGTAACTGGTCAATTGAATCAGCCTTGCAGTATTTTGTGCATTTTCTGAATATATGCAAAGGTTTTGCAGAAGGAGCAGTATTTGGAAGTCAGAAACACACTGTACATTTGCTGCAATAAAATCCCTAAATTCCCCTCACACACTGTACATACAACACAGCTACAAATCAAGGCAAATGAGAGGGGAATGGATGAATAAGAAGGGGCTGGTGTGGGGAGATTGGAGAAAGGAGGCTGAGGTGTAGCAGAGCTAGGTAGAGAGGGAATTCATGCATTTAATGTATGTTTAATTACAACACATTTAAGTGTGTGCCTGCATATGATTATGACTCTGTGTGTATCTCTTTCTGTCTTTGTGCAAACATTTTGGACAGAATTTAGTTTAGGTTAGGGTGAGTGTTGGGGTTAGGCATTTAGTTGTGATGGTTAAGTGTTAGGGTAAGGAGCTAAGGAATACATTATGTCAATGAATGTCCTCACAACTATAGAACATCTGTTCAAAATGTCAATACAGTGCCTAAATTGGTTGGTCCACCACTTTGATCCAGACTGAAATATCTTAAAAACTATTGCATGGATCGCCATAAAATTTGTTGTCTGTTTAGTACTGCTTAGCAAATGTTAGCATGTTAACATGCATGTATATAAAATAGATGTTTCAATGATTTAAATATGATAAAATACCACCTAAACTGGTGAAAATATTAAGTTTAGATAAAGCACAGGTTTCATTACCAGCTATTTGATGATTTCAGAATACTCTGACAGTTTGATACTTGGTGCTACTGACAATACGTCAGTACAGAGAAGGTTCAATACTCAGCTCTATCCAACTACTGTCTCACAATATATTTAAAGTATAAAGCGCAATGGTTTGTGAGCTTGATCCATCTGTTCACACATGACCTTACCTGTAACAGCTGCAGTGACACAAGGGGAAATGGCTGTTGTTCCTGACCTCATTACTGGAGCTCCTTGTGCTAAACTGGCCTCATCTAAACAGGGCTTTGAAAATTGCTCAATAAAGTCTTTAGGGATAAAGTGGCTTCTGGAAACCAGGGCCAGAACAGCCTATTACAGTAGCTGCTTATATTGAACTGTGACTGAACTGAAAGTAGTCCATTGTTTAAACCTGCTGTATTTCACTGAATGGATTTCAACACTGCAGACATCCACTGTTTAATCTTGCAACCAGCCTTTTAATCAACTCACCAGCACCCCATCCAAGAATATGTATCTGATTTGATGTAATGTAATATGCAAGGTGTATTGTTGATTGTCTGTCACATGTGCATAGAGGACTGGGTCAGAGAGCACGTTTTTTTTGTTTCTAATCCTGTTTCGGTCATTTGAAACTCATCATAGTAGCTCCCTTGCTGCCATCCCCATCTCTCCCACCTTACTGAGAAGATGTACGCAGCCTCAGCTCAATCTCACACGTAATAGGAAAGCGGTTCTTCTGCAGCTCATTCCAGATCAATACTGTCCTGCTCCTCACAGGAACTGTAGATTGCCAACCAATTTCACATATGGAACTGGAGCTGGGTTTAGTCCTCTCCCTTAATGAGGAGTGTAAAGTGCTGAGTGATAAAAGTTTGTGGTTCCAAGGAGTGTTACTGTCCTGGAGTGTGTGCAACACATCAGACATCACTGTCAAAATAACAAAGCTGCTGGATGAAATTTCTGCTACTGTGAACACATAATTGCTCAGCTGTGCTTTGTGTTTAGTGCCAATTACTGTAGCAAATGTTAGCACACTAAACTAAGACAATGAAAGTGATAAACACTCCAAGCATTCGCATGTTAGCATTATGCTTAATGAGTATTTTATCATGTTCCTGTTAGCATTTTGCTCAAAGCACAGTGTATCTGAGTGCAGAGGGGTATTTGTTTTCTAGTTTAATTCCTGCAGCACAGAGAGAAGGACACAACATCACTGTGAAATTGTTCTTTGGACAGGACCCTTCAAAATGCCTGCTTTTTATACAGTCATGAAAAATAGGATAGAGGAAGGTTTATGCTGATGTGGCTACACATCAACGGCGATCAATATAAGCATTCAAAATCTATTACATATCTCCTCTGCAGCTCAGAAAAGAAAAGCAAAGACACTCTAAGAGGGCTACTGAGAAATTATATTTACTGCAGAGAATCTACAGTATGTATATGGATTTTCACCAAAACCAGTCGGCTATCAAGGCGCCTATGAGGTTAATGTATTTTCAGACTGACATATTTCTCTTGATTGTGGATATATATGGCCATTAAATTCTGGTTGGTGCTTTCATATGTCCTTTGGATGTTGGTACTTGGCCACCACATCCAAAATTCTCTAGATCTGCCCCTGCTGGCTACTACAATTAAATGTCCATGATATATAATTATACACATGTCCATGATATATAATTATACACATAGAGATTATATCCTTTAAGTCAGATGGGTCAGCACCGTATCAAGGAACAATGTAAAATGGGTGTAAATGAGTCATATACTCCTACCAGTAATAGAGCAGATGAAGCAGATCATTAGTCAGCATTTAAAGGTCACTTACTGCTGCATCATGACACCACGAGTCTGTGTGTGTGTGGAATAAAGTGGCAACACATAATTTGTGATAGACCATAACTATTAGCAAAGTAACACACTACACTTACAGCCTGGGACCTGCTCCTCCAGCCAAGTTATACCCAGCATGTCCCATAATGTCATGTGTACAGTACAGTGGTGTGAAAAAGTGTTTGCCCCCTTACTGATTTCTTATCTTTTTGCATGTTTGTCACACTGTAATGTTTCAGATCGTCAAACAACTTTATATATTAGTCAAAGATAACACAAGTAAACACATCATGCAGTTTTTAAATGAAGGTTTTTATTATTAAGGGAAAACAAAATCCAAAACTATATAGCCCTGTGTGAACAAGTGTTTGCCCCCTAAACCTAATAACTGGTTGGGCCACCCTTAGCAGCAACAACTGCAATCAAGCGTTTTCGATAACTTGCCATGAGTCTTTTACAGCGCTGTGGAGGAATTTTGGCCCACTCATCTTTGCAGAATTGTTGTAAGTCAGCCACATTGGAGGGTTTTCGGGCATGAACTGCCTTTTTAAGGTCATGCCACAGCATCTCAATTGGATTCAGGTCAGGACTTTGACTAGGCCACTCCAAAGTCTTCATTTTGTTTTTCTTCAGCCATTCAGAAGTGGACTTGCTGGTGTGCTTTGGATCATTGTCCTGCTGCAGAACCCAAGTTCGCTTCAGCTTGAGGTCACAAACGGATGGCCGGACATTCTCCTTCAGGATATTTTGGTACACAGCAGAATTCATGGTTCCATTTATCACAGCAAGTCTTCCAGGGCCTGAAGCAGCAAAACAGCCCCAGACCATCCCACTACCACCACCATATTTTACTGTTGGTATGATGTTCTTTTTCTGAAATGCGGTGTTACTTTTACGCCACACATAATGGGACACACACCTTCCAAAAAGTTCAACTTTTGTCTCGTCTGTCCACAGAGTATTATCCCAAAAGTCTTGGGGATCATCAAGATGTTTTCTGGCAAAACTGAGACGAGCCTTTATGTTCTTTTTGCTCAGCAGTGGTTTTCGTCTTGGAACTCTGCCATGCAAACCATTTTTGCCCAGTCTCTTTCTTATGGTGGAGTCATGAACACTCAGCTTAACTGAGGCAAGTGAGGCCTGCAGTTCTTTGGATGTTGTTGTGGGGTCTTTTGTGACCTCTTGGATGAGTTGTCGCTGCGCTCTTGGGGTAATTTTGGTCGGCTGGCCACTCCTGGGAAGGTTCTCCACTGTTCCATGTTTTCGCCATTTGTGGATAATGGCTCTCACTGTGGTTCGCTGCAGTCCCAAAGCTTTAGAAATGGCTTTATAACCTTTTCCGGACTGATAGAGCTCCATTATTCTCTTTCTCATTTGTTTTTGAATTTCTTTGGATCTCGGCATGATGTCTAGCTTTTGAGGATCTTTTGGTCTACTTCACTTTGTCAGGCAGGTCCTATTTAAGTGATTTCTTGATTGCGAACAGGTGTGGCAAGAGAAATTGAACTCAGGTGCGATAAACCAGTGTTTTGACAGGGGGGCAAACACTTGTTCACACAGGGATCTATAGTTTTGGATTTTGTTTTCCCTTAATAATAAAAACCTTCATTTAAAAACTGCATGATGTGTTTACTTGTGTTATCTTTGACTAATATATAAATTTGTTTGACGATCTGAAACATTACAGTGTGACAAACATGCAAAAAGATAAGAAATCAGTAAGGGGGCAAACACTTTTTCACACCACTGTATATGTAGATCTGTGCACAATCTTTAGGACCATCCAACTGACCCGCTGTCAGTGATTTGCTAGCTGCTGGTTTTATCAAAAAATGTTGTTTGTTTAAAATGCATCCCCATTTTTCAGATTCATTTGTCAGGTTGCTCATGTTTTGAGGCTTTTTTTTAAATACTATTTTTCTAATTATCTTCTCTGTTATCTTGTTTTCCCAGCAGCTGCCCCACAAACAGAAAGTGATGGCACATTCATAACTCTGAGCAGAAGGCAGTGAATGTGTCCTACTTTTGCACCTGTGTGTGTATGTTTGTGTTCTATGTCATGCTGGGTCCTGCGCTTTGTCACACACTACATACTGAAAGCCCCACGAGAGGCCCCACGCTAACTGTGTATATATATTTGAATGACTGTACGCGTTTGTCTTGTGATTTTGTACAGTGATGCATCACCACCCAACAGTATACCTGTAGCCTATCACACAGCATGGATTCATCCTCAGTTAAGATCATTTCCCCCGCAATGAAACATATTGTACTGTACATTACTATTATCACTGTTAAAAAAAGTCAAATAAGAGTCTGATCTATGAATAATCAGTTCTTGTGTTATCATCAGTTGCAGTGGAATGTCCCTACCAAAGTTACTGATCATCTTTGGAGATTTTATTGAGTGACATTGATTGTAATGCAGCTTTAAAGACATGGACATTATAAGACTGGACTAAATGTAGTTTAAATGTAGTTTTTTTTTTTTTAATACACATATAATCTTAACTTGTTTAAGCAGCATTTCAGTGGCTATGTTTAAATTCATTCCATGTTTAAATAAGTTTATTAAAAGTAACTGATCAATTTTTAAATGTATAATTAAAGTCTAAAGATGTAGTATACAGTCGTTTTAAGATTGATTCTTGATTCCAACAGCTGCTTGTAATTTTTACCCTAATCCTTATGGCAGATCTGCACAATTCGCAGAGGTGACCGATTTGGACTTAATTTCACTGAAAGGTGGCATGTTTGCATCCCCGTGACACTGTCAAATATGTAGGGTGAGACATAGTGAAAAAGAGTGAATAACAATATAACAATTTAACAATTTCTTCTTTAAGACAGGTATAGCAGAGAAGGGAAGAGTTCGCTCTGTAAGGTTTAATCCTCAGTTCTACACTACAAATAAAGGCTTGCCCCCTGATTTACTGAGGCAGGTAGATTTAAAAATAATTTTTATATTTGCACCTCCATTAAAACATGTTTTCACTAGGCAGTGTAGCGTGATTAGGCCTAAATAAGCTGTTCCTCATTTAAATCAGGTGCACGGAGCTATTATAATAATTACAAACATCACAATACAGGTGATGGACAATCAGTTCAACCATAATATCAAGAGGTCAAGCTACTATAGCTGCTGATCGCTTTCAGAAAAATAAAAGCCAGACAGTAGTTTATATAATTGCATTTAGAAGCCGCTTATTCATTCTGTATGTTGTCAACCTGCACCATGAAAAATGTGGGATAAACTCTACTCCATCCATACAAAACTGGGTAAACTCTGTTGGTTTTTCCTGCAGCAAATGAGCAGAAAAACAATTCTCCACTAAAATCTCCACTCAGCTTTGCATAAAAGCCAGAGTCTCCACCATCCATTCACTGCACACTGAGGTGTGTCACGGTGGAAGGATGCACGACCCTCTGCAGCTGCCAGTTCCACTTACAGTGCCAATAAAACCACATCTCCTCACAGAAAGTAGCTTATGTAAGAGAGTGACTAATTACTACAGTAAATAAATCTACTGGTCCTAAAGACAATTTTAGCTGAGCTTATAATCAAGAATTCTTGCAGCTGTCTGGAATAAATTAACTTTCTTTTGTCTCAAATGCATTGTCATGCCCAAACAACACAGAGAATTGTTAATAATTTGTAAACCTGTTCAAAACTTTCTCTGGTAATACGCTGAATGTACTGTATAAACACTATACAGAACTTGACATATCTTCCTCATTCTGTCAGAAATTCTGTCAACGACAAGGAGCAGAATCTTTGTGTAATATTGCAATAAAGACCTTGACTAAAGCAGACAGCTTGATAACAGCTTTCTTTACTCTCTGCATCACCCACTCACTTACACCTAAACACACGCACACACAGGCAGGTCACCGATGGGTCATAATCCCGAGTGTATCCATTTAGTGGCTGGCATTGTTCACAGAGGAGCATTCAGTTACATCTAGGTGCTGCTGATGAAGATAAAAAGGATAAGAAGGGCCAGTGCGTCATGACCTCCTGTCTATCACTAACAACCAGTATCACCCAACCTCACCCCCACCCCCTCCTGGGACCGAGGACAGGCTAAACATATGTCAATTTGTAATTGAGTACCGGTCTGTTATAGTAAAAACCACAGTACATGTTGTAACTTGGATAGTTAGACATCTTAATACCTTTCAAGATATAATTAATTACATTTATTTTAATTCAATACTTTAGAAGGCCCAGTTCCAGGGTAAAATGTAGCCCTTGCCATATAACTGCATGCAATGGAAACTTAATGGCAATAAAAAACAGCACACCACCACCACTACAGCGTCAACTCCATAAGTTACTAAATGACAGCTTGTGTAAGAAACTATAAGCAGACGGCACAATTATAGCAACTTCATGCACACTTACTATTGATTTGGCATAACGCGTTTCACCATTAATATCTAAAAGACTGTATCCTACTTTACAAATGAATATCTTTTTAATGAACCAACAATATTCCACCAAGACAGAGGGGAAGGCCAAAATTAGGCATTTTAACTTTCACTTTTACTTTTACCTTTGAAAAGCAAAGGTAAAATTCATTCAGATTTTATATCAAACTTATCAAAACAGAAATATCAGCGGAAGCTGCAGCATGGGATCAATGAGGTGTTTGTTTTGTCATGAATCTTCACAAATCCATGTTTTTACCAACTTGGAATTGGATTCAAAATAGAACCATCCATTGGAACCCATCCCTAGCTCATAGTTTTTACTGCAACATGTGGCAGATGAGCTTTGAGTCTTGCATACCATTTCTTATGAAAATTGCCTTAAAACCAA